AATGCGCTTTTATCTTTGCTAAATGCACACCATAGCACTAAAACGATGCATAGTAGACTAAGACTCAGCCGTTGAGTCTACCAACTCTTGTCTTTTAGTTTTCAAAGCGAAGATATCCCCAGAAAAGAAATAGAATTTACCGAGTTATTGTCGAGAATACCCTCCGCAAAAACCCTCCCAACCCCACATTATGACAATGAATTTCTAGTGGCGACGGTTAACAAGGCTTTAGAAAACCTATTTGTTTATAGTGATTGTAAGAGGAAGAATTGTATAAGAAACAATTTGCTGATTAATAATTCAGTGGATGTACACGGTGTAAATAATATTACAACTTGGATTGCATAATTCCAATGGTTGGAAAGAAATAAAAGTTACACTACATCCAAAGGTCGTTCTTCGCGAATGTCCTTATTTACGTCACAGACACACTGCAAATAAGCAATTCTAATCTCTCGCGTTCAGAGACTTGTACAATTAGTTGCATTGCGTTAAAGCTTTCCAAATTTAATTTCAATCAAATATTCTTAATAAAGAGGTTTCACTTTTTCTTTTTGAAACCATCAGTATTATCATTTTGTATCAAACTCAAATCAAGAAGACAGATCCGATTTTGTAGCTTCTCAAGCTTCAGTACATTCGTTAAAATGTGCAGAAAATCGAGGAATCTCAGTAAAGTTTGAAAACGACATTATGTCCGAAATCCACCAAAACTAGTAAAGTTTGAAAACGACATTATGTCCGAAATCCACCGAAAGATACTTGCAAACTATAAGTTTGCGTTAATTATACCTTCATCCCCATTAGCGTTCACCATTGTTCGAACAAATTGATCAGGATGATGACAGAGGCCGACAAAATCCTCAAAGAAGCGAAGAAGCCAGTAGAAGAAGGAAGACCACTGGATAGATTCGGGGTCTATTTGAAAACCCACTAATGAGATATCCATCTAAAGGAATGAATATTATTCAACGATAATAAATTGATTGTCGATGCAGCCCTTAGATCCCCGTTCATGAAGCTTTTTGATGAAACCCAACCAGGACAGTTCGGGATGGAAGCTCTGGCGGAAAACATTTGGTGGCCTCACTTATACCGGGCAATTTACCACCACGGTAGAAAACTATGCACAGTGTATAAAAGCCACTAAGAACCTCAAAGTCATTCTGGGCTCGGCTATTACGCAGAAATAACCAGTTTTATTGGAATCTCACGGTGAAATAAGTCTGGTTTTTTGCAGGTCTATTCAATAAACACAGGGGCAGATCAAAAAATTTACTTTTCAGCATAGATACGTTCACCAAATTTCCTTCAGCTAAGGTGGCAAATACTACTTCAGCGTCTTCAATACTTACATTTCTGACAGATTAATGCAACTTACATGGATTTCTGAAATCAATCAGAGTAGGCCATGGGCCGTGTTTCCTTTCAAATTAAACAAAACTTTCTGCGAGAATAAAATTAAGTTAATTTTATGTACGGTGGGAGATCGTAGATCAAATGAAGTGGTACAATGTCTTATATACATCTTCAAACAGAAACTAATAGTAATTACATTCAACAAGCCCAAAACGATTCTAATTGTTGCGATCGATAAAATCATCTGCAACATTCGTTCAACAAAACAAACATCCCTTGGACGTACATTCTCCTTAAAACATTTTAATAATTTGCCTTACAACTTCTCGAAATCCTTAGTTTCACCTGCCATTGGTTTAGATGAAGGGAAGTCGATCATGTCGAAAGAGAGAGCTCAGGAATGAAGGCAAACGACAACACAGAGGACAGCTACTTTGAGGAAACCATACCCAAAAAAAGAGGATACGAGAGCAATCTAACGGACAATACAGAGCAGGTCGCACCGAGAGCCGCGTTGTCAAACCTCTTCACCCAAGTAGGTAAATGGTATAGAAGGACAGTGAACATAAGGGAAGGCCAATCGTATTATTAACCCTTGGCGGAAAACCTATATCAGACACCAAGAATTTAGTAACCCTAGATAATGGCCACGTACTAAGACAATCGGACCTTGAGTTCAAGAAAAGCCAACCATTATCTCCAAGTAAGTTTACGATAGTTCCGAAAACATTAATTAACAATAATGAATTAGCAAGGAGGGAAAGATAAACTCTCCTATCAAAAGGAAGGACTCAAACGAAGCATGACGTACACTGTCAGGCAGACCATCGGGCCCAACACTGTCGAAGAGGAAAAATTCGAACGTCCCCAGAACTAAAAGTTTTTGTTATGTTAACTCAGACTTAACATCGTCATTAGATTAAAACTATTGGGACAACGTCTTGGAACACTATCTTGGCACAGGCTCTGGGGTTAAATCTAAATCTCAGTCTTTCATATGTGAATCCAATTGCTATAGAGAGTTCTCCCGAGAAACCAACTGACCCATTCCGAGCCACCCCATCGTGCAGCACTTCACATCCAAGAAGGAACCCCGGGCCTCCAAAGTTCTATGGAGAGAGGTGCTTCATCCAGCAAGGGCTACCGAGGGCTGCGGCAACAGACATTGTGGATTCAGAAGAGGAATCGTTGATTGCTTTCACTTAAACCAACAGATGCCAATCCACCATCGCCTTCGAGTCCCAATCAGAATTCTCGGCACCACTGGCGGACATTCAAGCAAGACCAAATTTAGTGCGAGTTGACACAAGGGTCCCACTCAACCACATCTTAGCTAAACCCAAAACTAGTGTTGTTACGTTCACTTGCTCAAGAACACTCACTGGAGTACAAAGAAGACAAAGAGAGTGATATTTTTTCATTAGTAGACACGGAAATCAGAGTAGAGGCAGAAAATTTCACCAAATATTTAACTCAGTTGATTATAAGTTTCAAATTTACCCATAATGATCCCCTACCGTTTATTCCTACGATTGCCTTATCCACATTCAATCGCTAAACCTTAAATACTCCTGTTTAATTATTCTTCGCAGATATAATAATTGGTTTTCTTTTGACCGAATTGCATCGCAATTGTTATTTTTAGTTAGTTCTACGCTGTTTTATCTGTTTATATTATACATATCCCCAATTGTTTAAATACATTTTTTGACACTCTCTATGATTGTTGTCTAAATCTGTTTTGAATTGTATGTAGCCTGTATAATGTGTTTCATTTTCATCTCCGTGTACATTTGTATAGTCTCTTGTAAATTCCATGGGGCTTTAAGTTGATTCTTTTTGATTCAAACATCGGATCCCGTGGGGTGAAGGGAGAATGGAGTATGTGTGTGATTTTGGCTACTTATTACAATTTTTCCTGCATTGGGTAAGGTTGTGGTTGTGCGTTTTTACTTAATTAACCTAGTCCTCTAGCAACTAATTAGGTACCGGTCAATTGTGTTTTATACGAAATCCATTGGACTTCGCGTCACTTTTGTTCTCTTTAGACAAAAGTCAGTTTTAATTGAATCACTTACTTTTATTCTTTTAGCCTAGCTTAGTTAGCTTCCGTATACCAGAAAAAGAAGCAGAGCATAAAGTGTCCTCCACGCATTGCCATTTACCCGATAAATGCGGGATTATGTGTTCAAGGAAAACAAAGAAAAGTACTCATTCTTGATCCATTTTCCGGCCAAGTTATCACTCGCCTACTTGGCGTCTGAATTTCCACATTAAACGCACGAAAAAGCTTTAGAAAAGGTTACTGAAAATACTGGGTTTACTAAAATGATATTTAAAATATTTGTAGTTTTGGATAAATTTCTCTATTGGCTTTATATATTGCGTTTTTGCGCCAAGTATGTTTCAAGCCATCTTCATGATATATAAAATAATTGAGGAGGAAGCCACGGCCTTTAATGCATCGAAGACAATTTTTCATGGAAAAATAGTCGCCTTCGGCTTATGAGGATGTTGAGTAGCTCAAAACTTGTTGAGCGTTTGTAGGACATGTTTTTTTGAGCAAGCTCTATCAATTTTGGTTTCAGCAAGCTCTATCCTGTTATATAGTTTCGTTTGAAGAAAAAGATAGAATCTTGATGATAAAAAATAAGATTTGAGAGGGTGACATAACTGACAAAAACAAAAACTTGAAAACAAAACTTTTATGCACCGTGATTGCCAAAAAAAACTGGATTTTGGTTTAAAAAAAACTTCTCAAAATCCAAAACAAGTTTTTTTGCTCAGCTTCAGAAATATTGTCGATGGATAAGTATTTATTGCCTAAACTGAATTTTTCCGATTCCATAGTTTTCTCTTATTCGCATTTGATCCCAAATCTCATTCAGTTGTCGTGGCTAATTTCATGGTCAACATATCTAAGATTGACCATTAAGAATACTCCATAAGAACGCACCAGATGGGTATGATTTATGGAAAAATCTATTAGACATATGAAGACAGCTCCGATTAAAACATCTGCATCGTCAGCAGAGGCGGATTTCGGGGGAGGGGGGTTGGTATTTTTTTATCATCCATTATCGGCGACAAACCTTAAGATTTTTCTAAAGACGCCGATGTCGCCAATATATACTAATTTTCAAAATTTGTCTGCGGCGCAGAAATCTTTGCCTGTGTCTTTATAGTGTTCTAGGAGCGCTCGGAAATTAAATTTGGTTGACCTAGAAAAAAAAATTCCAGGAGTTTTGTCGACCCGGCTTCCTCCTCGAGAAAATGCCAGATCCGCCCCCTGATTGTCAGCTAGGTATTGAAACATAGTTGAAACTCTTATGATTTCTAAAAAGACGAAACTGTTTGTGTCAGCGTCGAAAATTTGTTTGGACAACCAATGACTAATTTTACACTAGAAGGCGTTGATTAGCAATCAGACTTATTCCCTCCATTGTTTAATTGCAAGCTAATTGTTCAAAAGAAAAAGATTAACAATTCCATTGTGCGGCATGTGCTTTTATGGTATTTGAGTGTGAACAGATTTGAAACCTTTCTGTACCTATAAATTGCAAGATAATTGGTGTTGTTGCCTCAAATCCAAAAATTCAGATTTAATCATTGTCTCAAAATTGCTATAAATCATTCGAGCATATATTTGTACAAAAACAAGAACAAAGTTACTCTTTTTAATTCTTTTTTTTTTACTCAAGTCTGCCAAAAAAATGACAAAATACAGCAAAAACTTGATGCTATTTAAGGAACTGCTAGTCCTCATCGTAATTATCAGGTATTCAGCTGGCGAAAGCAACACTGAAGTTCCATACACAGAGTCTAAAACGACTCTAGAAAACCCATTCGAAAACGCCTTGGATGAAAACTTTGACATTGAGATTGTGCCAATTGTTTCAAACTTCAGCTTCACGCTTCCAGAAGAAGAAAGTGGAACTGAGGCTGAAAAAAGCGGCTCTTCAGTTCTCAATTTAGTTCTGCCAGGAGCAACGAGTAAAAATGTTTCAGAGAGTGACATTGATCAAGAGCACATATCATACGAAAAGAAATTGAACTCAAGACAGTTAGTTTTAAATTTTTCCCACGCAGACATCAAACGAAAACCTTGTTCAGTTTTTCTGGTAGATATACGGAAAAGAGTTCTCAAAAAGTTCAAAAACTGTAAAAAAGCAACTGACTAAATAAAATAGATTAGCAAAAAAGGACAGATATTTAGAACCAAAGTAACATATTCTCACTTATTTCCGCAACAAAGACTAGTTGAAAGTCTAAAAATGTTTTGTTCTGTCAATTAAGATATTTCTTTTGTTTTAGGTTGTGGAAGAAACGTTTCATCGTGTTTAGCGTGCTAATATCCACAGCTGCGCTGCTAGTTGTCTATGTCAAGCTCTCTCCCCATTTTCAAAGGACATTTTTCAGTCGTTCCGGTAGAGAAACGAACCCCTTGTCTCTGTCATCCTCTTCAACTCAAGTGGATATCCGAAGTTACGACGACGGAGACGAAATCAAAAACTATTTTATTATTTGATGCTTTGTTGTTTTGTGGTTCAGTAAAGTGAAATTCAGTCAATCGATCAGGTCTCGTCCTTTTATCAGTTAAGGTGTGAAAGAACGTGATGTTCACGGTATTTTTTCCATTGAAATCCAAGAAGTTTTAGGAGAAATTCGTTCTCGTTTGGCCAGAAATTTTGACACCTTGCCTCCATCTTACGATATTGGTTTCATCTCGTCTTATCGAAGCAAAAAAGGTAAATGTAGCTCATCAAAAACGCAAAACGACAAAATTCTAATTTGGATTGTTTTAAAGTAAAAAGTTTCTGACAAAAAAAAACAAGATCAAATCTGAGGTTAACTTTTGGCGTAAAAGAAAACCTCTTCACCGCTTTTAAGAAGCGTGTTCAACATATACGATGGCTATGAATGATTTCCTCGAAATCTATCTTTGTTCAGCGGACAAAATTATTGCTCCGCCCGCATTGGAGTTCCATGAAAAAAAAATTGATTATAATTGAGTTTTCTTGTCAGTGTCCACAAAAGTGAAAACAAATAGATTATAATCAATTAAAAATGGATTATAATATTACTATTTTTTGAGGCAACAAAATCCTTTTTTCACCCATTATAATCGATTTTTTTTCACTTTTCTTAAATGCAGGCGACCACTTCACGAAATGGGCAACAGGTATGACTATGTGTTACTAGGCATGCTTTTGTTTTCTGAAGCTTGACTGCCTCAAAGGAATCTCGTAGACGGTCATGATGATTCAAGTTTCATTGAAATTTTTCCGTGATGATTTTCTAGAGAAAAGAAGAGTTAAAATGATTCGAACTTCTCCAGATATCTAAAGTCATTTATTTCTGACTAAGAATGCCTTCTTAAGGAATCCTTTTACGCGAAAGTGTAAATAACTTAAGCAGGAAGCTAAAATTTAACGGTTCTAACCAAAGAAACAAAGTAAATTTTTCTAATAAATATAATTAGCAGCCAATAAAATATTTTTGCAAAGTGGAAAGTATTTCTTTTTACAATTTTCATGATATATCTAACAGCTTAGTTCTAAATCCTATCCATCTCTAGCACTTTTTTAAGTTTTAATTTGTTCACACTGACTGACGGCTCCTCTCTCTGCAATTTGCAGACGAACTGGCTAGTCTTATTGCATAACCCAGAAGATGCAGGGAGGGAACTACGGCAGAGTTTTTTACCCAATATTACGCACCTCAAGGAAACCTCGTTAGCTGCCCCAAACATGTAGTCATATTAGAAGTGAAAGTGAAAACCAAATTACAGACCATTTTAGAGCTCCCCTTCCATTTAAAACAATTTTTATTAATTTTAGCAAGGATAAAAATAGTCGGAGCAACTTGTGATACTTGCACAGCTACTGGCTGTGCTTGTTAAAAGTACACCCTTAAAACTTTTAGTGGTGAGAAGGAACTATGGAGTAGGGTTTGTTTTTCTTCAACTAATTTTGATCATTGCGGTCAAATGTAATAGCACATTAAAGCACTAATAGTCGTTTCATGAAGTTTTCCTCAAAATCCGTCTTGTTTTTGACCTAACTTGGTCTGAATTGTTCCGTTTTTGGATCACATGAAACAAAATTTCCTAATGAAAATGGAGATGGTGACTCTGAGTTTTTGTTTACTATATATACTTATACAGAATTTTCTCGAGGGGAGGTGAATTTTCAATGCTTTTGGGAATTTTTTGGAAAATGTTGACTCAAAAACGGCGTTTTTAGGCGCACGCTGCCCGTGAAAAATAGTACTTATTACCTTTTGAAAAATTTTAGTGTCGGTCCGCCAAAAATGGGTTTTGCCAAAAGTACCGAGAGGGGACCCTTTGGGTTGGCAGGGGTTTTCTATAAACGGAGGGGTTTTCGGCAGGGGTTTTCTATGAATTTTAGAAAAGTACTATGATTTTCAAAAAACTTTTAAAAAATTACTTTTCAATTGTAATGTTTTTCTTTTTCACTTTTGTCTTCTTCAGTTACTGTGCTGGGAAGATTTTATTTTTCTTGCAAAGCAACCTGTAATCCTTGCTTGGCTGTGTTCTGCAGTACAGATCTAAGGGCAAACTCAAATTAATAAAAACTCCGTTTTATCTTTTGCTCTGAGCAAGTTCTGTCACACGTTCATGGTTTCGTCATTTTTAACTCTTCATTTACTTAAGATTTGGCTAAGTCCGAAACATTTTTCGAGTTCTCCCCCGTTGGATGGCATAAATAAATAATTCCCAGATGGCTATAAAAATTGAGTTGGTGGTCCGAAGTACAAGAGTGGCGTGTAGATAAACGTTCGAAAATTATTTTAAAAAACATACATTAAACCCATTTTTTGATAATTTTTCACATGAGTTTAATTTTGTTTTCTTAACTAAAAAACCAAAGAAATCACTGACTCGTAATTTATCAGCTTTTGTAGACCACAAATTCAAGACGGACGCTCTTGGTCAGCTCGACATTCAGGGCTTTGTGTCTCTGATACGAGCAGCTTTGTTTTCCATTTGCTAGTACTTTTATTGGTACGCATTTTTACAGACTTATGCTTCATATTACAAATTAAACTGTGAATCATCATCATTTAGCGTAATTTGTGTGGTGCATTTTTTGAATAGATGTGCTATGCTTCGACAGACCGGAAAATTTAACCGGGTAGCCTTTGGCTACAGGGATTTTTGTGATCTGGTTGTAAGCTTCTGGCACTAAAACGATTTTCTTTTGTGGTTTTTCTTTGGACAACAACCAACTAACTAGTCTTGCCTACCAAAGAATTCTTCATTTTTATTCACATTACGAAAGAGCCTCGTAGCTGAACAGTTTGATTGCATTTAAGTTTTAAAAGTTTGTCAAGATCTGGCGAGCTGGGGTTGAATCCCAATGGAAAAAAAACAAAGCTTGGAAATACTAGTTACCAGAGACTTTAACAGGCTTACCAAACTATTTTAGTTTCATCAGACACTAGAAGAACTTGCTCAGCATGGCAAATCAAAGGAATATATTGAACCCTTATATACAAAGCATGTTATGAAAATGAAAAGTTCTTCTTGAGGAACGTCCTAGTTGCTTAAAATATCATTGATGATCAGAGCATTTGGTGAAATTTGAAATACTTCGCCAGAATCTATTTAGCAAAACAAGGAACTTCTGTCATAGTCTTTGTAAGAATGTGCCTCGGTGAAGAATGATTTGATGAACGTCAACTTTTGTGCTTACATTAAAAGTATCAACAAGCCACTGGCAAGGATCAAATCTAGCAACCGATATAGTCGAAATTAAACAAAAACTAATCGAGTGTGATGCGACAAAAAACTGTTTTTTCTATAAAACTAGACGAGGAAAACATTTGTAAACTGAGCAGGAAACTCAGTATTGCATTAAACCCTGATGTAACCTCAAGGTAATGTAAAATACTAGAATTTTTGGCGAACTAAACCACCAAAAAAACAAAGATAAACAAGGAACTGAGAAGCCCAGCAAAATTATTACCGATATATATATATATATATATATATATATATATATATATATATATATATATATATCTCGGTAATAATAATAATGGTGTAGGTGTAGCCTGTCAAGTAGCCTATAGACATGGCAAAATAAAGGAGTGATCCCTGGAGCAGTTCGAAAGGTATCTTTAACCATACTTGTGAAGTTTTCCGGAAGAATCTGACACACAATTAAAACTAGTGGTTTCTGGATCCCGAGAGTGTGGACCGACAACTCAGACTCAATGAAGATGCCATGAAAAAGTTGAAAGCATCAAGAAAATTGACTAAGAAACAGAAACAATTACAGTTTGCCAAGTTTTGGTAGTAGATTTTCTGTTTTCTAGAAAAAGAAATTTTTTTTTCATGTACGTAGTCAATAAAACAAGTACGTAGTCATTCATGTACGTGGTCATTGTTGAAACTTGACGGTGCCAATAGAAACGATATATAACAAGACTGCTCGTATCAGGGCGAAGCCCTGAATGTTCCGACTGCCTTTTAAGGTTTATTGAGCAGCAGTAATACATAAAAAAAATTAAATGAAATAAAATAAAATGAAACTTTTTTTTCTTCTAAAATTTGAAATTTTTATGAAAATCATCCCCCACACGCCATATAAAGTACAAAAAGATAGATTTCGTTCCTTGTAACAAATCAATTATGGCAAATAAGCTTCGTTCAACCAGTTTGGAACGATTTATAAGACGGATTAAATCTCCGCTTAAGCGTTAATAGCGCGAATTATATTGCGCGTTAATTGTCCCAAATTGGTCAAAATGGCCAAAAAGGCAATCTTTAAACCCTCATAACTTTACGAAAAAAGATCACAGGTGAAATATCTTTTCAAATTTAAGCTCAGGACAACAATACCTTTTGAATGATATAAAAAATTCGGTCAAAAATGGCTAGTTAAAAAGTCGAAATTTGTCTGAAGAAAAAAAACCCACCCCGAGCACAAATATTCCGTTACTTCCGTATCGAAAGTCGAAACAAAAAGTAAACTGCTTCTTAAACTAACCTCGAATTGTGAAAACGATAGTAATGAGTGGCTGGTGAAAACCCGATTATCAATTGCCTTCTTTGTCGAATGTCAGAATCGTTTGTGGTTATTTTTTGGAGTATTTTGTTATAGTAGGGCGTTATCGCTCTTGCTTTGAATGAAATCCTAATATTGATTTCAAACTAGAGGCGAAAGTTCAACAGATGGTGAATTTTTTCACTCGTTACGGTCGACGTTCATTGGATCACATTCTGTCTTAAGACTGTGTGAATGGTAATTTTATTTTAGCTGATTATGATAATCAAAATGATCAAAACCTCAGTTTCTTCTTGATGAATACGCAAAAGAGATAAGTGCATGTTAGTTAACTGTGGGGATTTGTTTTTTATGCCACTGAACTCGAAAGGAGCTAGGATTCTAGAGAAGGCATTGAAAAACAAAAACAGGACGAAATCCATCTGCTGTTTCTTAAGTAATTTTATTTGCTAGAAAAGAGCCATCTTGTCCAATATTGAAGTAGTGGCTCAGAAAAATGAAACAACAGCTGAGCGTCAGATGAAAAGCCAATTCTTCATCAA